GGCAAAGAGTGTGTTACAACAAGGTCACACACTGTTTTGTGCAGGACAACTATACATTTTGCTCTATTAGTCAATACGTAGTGTGGTCACACGCTTATCTCAATGGCAGTGACACAAGCATCACACAGTCTTTCATGACTAACGTTTCCTTCTGTATTTTTCTTCCGTGCGGCGCTAAAGCGCGTGTACTTCAGGTCGTCGCTGTAAACGTCTGCTAGACGCAATTATAAGCCAATACATAGCACGGCCGAAAAGACAATGAACGTGATCATGTGAAGAAGCCCCAAAAATTATCTCCCTCGTTCCCTCTATATCCCACTCATTCACTCTCTCCCTCTCCCTTCCTCTCACTCACTCTCTCCCTCTCCCTCACGTCACGTGAATCACATTTACAGCCCCTAATTAAAGGAGCTGTTTTGTCCTGAAGAGTGTCTTGCGGACGTTTCGCGTTACCCTGTGCCCGTCCGGCCCGCCTGAGGCCCGCGCGGGGGAAGCCCGGTGCAAAGGGAGGGACAGTCGAGAGGACAGTCGGCGCCCAACATGCTGTATCAGAGCATAAACCAAGTGGCGGAGGCGTGGCTCTCTGCCGCCGCCACGGCCGCTGCCGCAGCACCGCGGCCCTCAGATAACGTCCAGGTGATGTAGAGCGGCCGGAGAGGGGGGAGTGTGCGTGCGCGCGCCCCCGTGAGTGGGAGAGAGAGGGGGGGGGGGGTCACGGCGATGGAAACCAGCCTCTAGTGGACGAGAGCGAGAGAGTACAGAGCAAAAGCCCAAGCCGAGCTCTTCGATGCCGATGTTCGAAGTGATCCAAATGTTTGAAGGGAAGGGAAGGCCATACTGTACAAGATTTTGGCTGCATCCCTTAGCCCCTCCATCTCATTCTGCTCCACGTTGAGGTCCGTAGAGAAACACCGGCCGTAGCCCGTATCAAAAAGAAGGTCGACGTCTACGATTTCAGAGGTTGCACTCTCTAAAAATCGTATTGACCTCATAGCCACCCTGTGCAAAATCTGGGCGCCCCCAGACAACGCTTTCCCGGCCCGGATCGCATTTGAAGTTGGGGACTCGGAGCGACCGCCAGAGGGACCCTTATGTTGAGCGAATGCTGTGCGCGACTGGTTGGCCTAGGAGCGGCAGGGTACTGGTCAGTTGAGACCTTATGGCCCCTACCTCTCCAGTGCCGCGGAGAATCCGGGTCGACAGCAACCGCGTCCTGTGCAGGGGCGTAAGTATCGCGACAGATTATGTCACGTTCGACTCATGAGCTTTGTGTTTTTCGGTGTTATTTCTTTGTGGATATTAGGGCTTTACCATGCGTAGACCGAAACCGTTCTGAACGCCAGGTAGCGCCCGCGTTTCGATAGTTTTTTTTGAAAAAAAGGGTATTTGCGCCTGTGGTGATGTCAGGTAGACCACCCGCATTACCGGCCTGTATAGTTTCTTGCCTAGCTGACAGGCGTTTTCGGAATAATTTCAATTTTCACCATGATGGCGTCAGCGCTACCCGGCGTTTTTCACTGTTTTATTCTTAGTACGGGTCACCCCTGATGTCCGGTAAATAAAAACATTTGAAACTTACAATTCCTTTCTTCAAACGTAACATGGGCTGTCGCTACACTTACGCCCCTGTAGAGGACGCGTTTGCTATGACACTGGATTCGCCCCAGCAGTTGAGAAGTAGGGTTCATAGGGTCTGATCTGACCCATGCACCGTCATTCCTAGGCACACCAGCCGAGCGCAGCTGGCGATCAACACGGTGGTCTCTCTCACGGCCGTTTCGAGTTCCCATCTTCAAATGCGATCCGGGCCGGGAAAGCGTTGCCTGGTGGCACCTAGATTTTGCACACTGTCTTTACAAGTTTCATATAATTTTTAGAGGGTGCAACCTCGATGACTATTTTTTTTTGATACAGGCTAACCGGCCGCCCCGTTCGGTGGAGCCCAGCTGCCCAGCTCTGGAGCGAACGGGTCAGATGAGTTATAGTATCCAGTCCAGCATTCCTGTGCCCAGC